CCGTCCGCTTGCTGCCATTCTCATTGCGGAACTCAATGCGAATGCCATGTACGCCCACCGCCCAGTCGAGATAGTCGTTGCCGTCTTCGAAGTTGAGCAGCAGCGAAACGCAGACGTGCAGCTTGTTGAACTCCTCCTTGCCAATCGGCTTGAAGCGGCTGTCTCGTAGGGCACTGGGGGGGAGGGGGGGGAAATATAGTTTAGACGGCGATGAGAATCATTTTAAAGAAAGATAACAACAACTTCCAACAAAACAGATGTTGTTACCTTGAGAGGGCATAGTCGCGCAGCCCGGTGTGCAGCGGAATGGCGTTGAAGGTGCCGATGCAGCCGCGAAGGCGCTTGTCGTGGCCAATCTTCCAGGTGACAAAGAGCGGACTGGTGGTGGTGGTAGTGGCAAAAAATAGATAAAAGATTAGGAAATGATAGATCACTTTTCAAATGTTTTAAACAGAGTAATTTGCTCTTCTATCACTTACAAGTGATTGTTGGTGAAGGTCGGCCGCGAGGGCGAGCTCTTGTGGTAGAGGTGGGCGTAGAGGACGTCGAAGCAGAAGTAGCACATCTCCATGCTGGCCACCAGCTGCGAGGTGACTGCCTTGCTTAGCTTGCTTAGCGCCGACGAGCTAGGTGAGGGCTCGTAGTCCATGGCAGAGCTGCCACTCCCACTTCCTCCGCTTCCACTGCCATGACCATTGGTCATTGAGGAGGAGGAGCCATTGTGACGGTGATCAACATTGCCATTGCTGTAGCCGCCATTTTTGTGTGATGAACTGCCACCACCACCATTTTCGCCACTTTCACCTCCTCCTCCTCCTCTTGAAGATTCCCCATTTTCCTGGTGGTGATTCCCGTAGCCATTGGCATTGTTGTTGTTGGGGTTGTTGTTCCCGCCAAGGCCGCCGTTTTTGCGCAGCTTTTTAGTGTTGTTGGCTGTTTCATTAACAAAAATGATATGTTTTAGTTTCAAGTTTGCGAAAAAATCTATAATTATTACCGTAGCCATTGGCGAAGCCATTGAATCCGTTCATTTTCTTTCAGTGAATACTGTAGCTGATTTTTTTGCTTGTTGCTAGTTTTTAGTGTTTTTAAACTTTTAAAAAAGTTGTTTTGTGCTACTTGTTTAGAGGGGTGACAAATAGAGGTTTCAAATGGGCTACAGTGTACGACTGCTAGAATCAGAGAATCAAAAGTGGTCGGAAAGAAGAGGAAAGCCAAACCAACTTGTGAAAGTTAATTAAAAACAATAACTTTTCTTTACTTGATGAAAAACTTTCCTGTTTTTTTCCTGTAATAAAAAAACTTTGTTTTAGTTAATGCAAGTGCAAATTTTCTACCAAGCAACTTTAATTACCTAAATTAGCTTTTTCCCAACTTAATTACTTAAGCCCAACAGTTTGCAGATGTTGTTGATGTTGTTAACTAGTTTTTGATGTTTCAAAAGTGCCCTTTTTTATGAAGACTGGTCAAATCTTTTCGAACACTTGCAAACTGCTGATGATAATGATGATGTCACCCAGCACAATGTCTACAAACCACTGACAGCACGCAGACGTTGCCACATCTGCTGCTGTTGTCACCTTTGCTCCTAATGCTGCTTCATTGTTTTCTTGTTCTTCTCTTCTTTGTTTGTTTGCTGTTGCTGCCGCTGTGATAATCTGTCAGACAGAGTCAAACAGACAGTATTTAGTGTGTGTACACTGTACAGCGCTCAAGTGTTTGAGTGTGTTGCTGCTGCTGCTGTCTTCTCGATTGCACCACTGCAAAGACGTTTTTCCAGTGTGTGTGTGTGTTTGTGTTTGTGCGTACACAGCAACCTACTGCCACCTTGCCACTTTTTCTTCTCGTTAGTTTCTGTTTTTTCTAATAGTCTGTGCGGCAAATTGGTGGTGGTGGTGGTGGTGCTGTTGTTCAAGCAATCATTTTCAAGTGTTGCACGCCAGAGTTGCTGCTGCTGAACAGTTGAGGAATTGGCTGATGATTGTTGGTGGTGGTGGTGGCAGCAAAAGATGAGACGCAGTAAAACTAAATACAAAAAACGGAGACCACTGTTAGCAACATTGCTGTACAAATAATGGCAATACATATTTTTATGCAAAAATGATGTTTATGTATACTAAACAAAATCAAGTAATATGGTGTAATAAACTGTGATGTGATGCTTTAGATGCTGTGCCTAGATACGTGTCTAATGAACATGCAATAGTAGTTGGTAATTAGTTGTGAAAAAAGTTCAAGTAAAACTAATTATCATGGGAAAAGTTTTTTATTGCGTCTATAATAACTACTAACTTGAAAAATGTTCTAAAAGTAATTTTAAATATAAATTATTCAAGAACTAGTTAAAACTAAATTAAAGTTGCTTTCAGTTCATGTGTTTTCTCATCAAAATATTTTATTTTTATCTAGTATCCTTTGATAAAACACTATCATTTTTTAAATAAATACTTACAAAATGGAATGGATTGGATTAGATCAGCGGGTGCAAAAGCATTACTGCTTTAAACTGCTTTTGATGAATGATCGTTGTAATTCAAACAAGAAAGCTAGACAGTAATTTGTTTGCTGATCCAAAATGTTCTGAAACACTTGGTGAAAAGGAGGGAGACAAAGAGATAGAGAAAAAGAGAGAGAGAGAGAGAGAGAGACTTTTTCAATCACAGTTTTCAATCACATTCACACACACACACACAGGCAGAAATGGTCACACAGTGAGTGTCACCATCTAAAACAATCACTGGTCATCAAGGCTGGTCAGTTGTTCTGCTGCTGCTGCTTGGTGTTCAGTGTGTGGTCAGCAGTTGTGAGTTGATGTTGTGCTGGCCTTGTCGTTGACACACTAGTTCACCTTTTTCAGGTGTTGATGAAAGTGGTGATGATAAAAAGTGATGAGGATAATGGTAGGCAAACAGCAGAACTTACAGCCAAACTGACGACTTGGCCACTTGACTCTCTCTCTCTTTTCCGCTCTCCTTCCCTCTTGTCTCTTTTTTTCTCAGGCTTTAATGCTTCATTCTGTTTGCTGCTTCAATTCTTTACTCAAGCTAACAGTTCATTAAGCAATTTTTCTGTAAGGCAGCTTTCGGGTCACTTTTTAGTTGTTCAAAATGCACAGCTGCTGCTGCTGAACAACGATGAGAAAGATATGATTGCAAAACAGCAAAATGAGAAGTAGACCAAAGGGCAGCTGAACAAATGAAGAAGGAGAGGAAAAGAAGAGAGGGAACAGGGAACAGAATCGGTGTCTGCAGGCAAAAGTCGGTCTGTCTGTTTGTGTATGTACGTGTGTTGCGTTGTATGCGTTGGCTTCTCAGAGGACTGCTGCTGCTGAGGGAGCTGCCTTCAGCTGGGTGAGCTGGAGCTGCAGCACAGAGAGGAGAGAAGGAAGAAAAGAAGACAGAAAGAAAGAGAAAGAGAGAAGGGAAAGGCGATGTGTAATGGGCTTCCACTGCGCTGCTGCTGCTGCTGGGGCAATTTTTCCCTCAGTGTTTGCAGACAGAGAGAGAGAGAGAGAGAGAGAGAGAGAGAGAGAGAGGGAGAGA